AGTCCCTCTCTGATGACTACAGAAAATGAATAACTTATGAGTCTACCTATATTGCCTATTTTCTCCTCAGAGATTTTGGTCAGTTAGACCTATTTCCTGGCATGCTTAGTGATTTTGGATTGAATTGAAAATGGCGTATGAAAAATTTTAGGGGTTCTGGAAAATGTCATCTTCCTTTAAAGAGGGTTGATTTTTTTGGAAGGTAGTCAGAAAGGGGGCAAATTATCTTGATCCAGTTAGGGAGTGTAATGATTCTAAGGTGGATCCTGGCTTTTGTGAGGGCTCCTCTATTTCCTATTTTTCACTTCTTCTAGGACTTAACCTTTCAGTTTTGAGATGTGAAAACTTAGGTTTACTAGGTTCCAACTCCTTGGAGGATCTGAACTGTAATTTTGGTTTCCCTGGCACTACACGACTGCCAAACTCTGCCATTCTGTTTTAGCCTCTTTGCTGCATTTCATACTTCACTTCTTGTCCTCTTGTCTCATGCCATTTAGGAATTGGGAAATGCTTCAAGGGGAAAACAGTACAGATTGTTGGAATATCTTTTCTGTGATTCCATTTTTTTTCTCTCTCTCTCCAATCTCAGTCCCTCCAGTCTTGAATATTTTTAAATATTTGTACTCCAATTTTTATCTCTTCAGCTTCTGAGAATGCTAAAAACCCCACACCACTTAAGAAACATCCAATAATTTCAGAAGAAAAGCAGTGGGAAATGCAGAGTCTATATCTCAGTGCTTCACTAAATGTTTGTGTCTTCCCCAAATTCCTGTGTTGAAACCCTAACCCACAAAGTGATGATATTAGAAGGTGGGCCCTTTTGGGAGGTTATCAGATCATAAGGGTAGTGCCCTCGTAAATGAGATAAATTTCCTTATAAAAGAGGCCCTAAATAGCTATCTTGATCCTGTGTGCCCATCCTACCATGTGAAGACTCAGCTTGAAGGTGCCATTCAGGAACCAGGAAATGGGCTGTCACCAGAGACCACATCTGTAGGAGCCTTGATCTTGGACTTCCCAGCCTCCAGAACTGTGAGACATGCATTTCTGTTGTTTATAAGCTACCTAGTTGTTGGTATTTTGTTATAGCAGTCCAAATGGAATAAGACACTCAATATATTTTCCTTTTATCTGAGACCCTGACACTTAAAATTTTTGCTGCCTCTGCCACTCTTTGATGTCTTCCAGCCATAAAAAAAAATCTAGCTATTGTTGTTATTTCAGTGAGAGTACTGAACACGTGCTACTTCATCAGTGGGAAACAGATGACCCAAATCACCCAAACCTGTGCATTCTAAACATTGCTTCAGCAAAGACTATAATTTAGGCATAGTTTTATTCAGGACATTTTCTCTAGTTTACTTTGCCCATTTTCCTTGATTCAAATTTTTCTGACTAGATTCTTTTCTTGCCATAGAACTCCTTAGGCCAAAGATAGATTAAGATCTTTCAAGTTCCAAGATGAAGAAAAGATAAGTTGGCCTTCTCCCTTTCACAAAAAATTTAAAAATAAAAACAAACCTACATTGTAAAATAAACATGAGAAATAATTCAATTTTTTCTAAAAACATATCAAATGTAAATTATTTCCAAAATTTTACAGAGCTAAGCTTCTTGAGTATAAATCCTGGCTCTGCTATGTAGTAGGTAAGCAAATTACTTAATCTCTGTCTTCAGTTTCTTCAGTTTCTTCAATAATGCCTGCCTCATAGGGTTATTATAGTAAATGATTTAATAAATGTATAATACTTAGAAAAATATTCCACATGTAGTAAGCACTCAATTAATGTCAGTTAGTGTAAAAGATTTTCCAACATCAACAGCAAGAACCATTAAATACGTCCACATATAACTTACATGTACTCATAATAAATATTTATGATTTAGTAGGATTAAGTTTGATTTACTTGGAGCCATGCAGTTTTAGAAAAGTTTATGATAACTCAATATTTTTGTTCTTTCTTTTTTCTTCTTTGCCTTCTTTTGAGATTGGGGGTTGGAGAGAGGCTCTCTTCCCTATTAGTAGGAAGAAAAAGGAACCATTTCTTTCTACTCTTCAACATTTATTTCCCCATAGTTGAGTCATTCAACATGGATTGAGGACTCACTGTGTTCTGGGCTGTGTGCTAACTGTAGTGTTGTACAGATGAATAAGATTTCATCCTTTCCCTGAAGATCTTTGTAGGCTTATCAGAGTCAGACAGATAAACAAGAAATGACATACACACTTGAGCCATCTACCCTGTGGCAAGGTGTCAGAATTTTATAATATATTAACTTTATTATCCTCCAAACAACCTTAAGATGTAGGCACTGCAGCTTAGAGGACTTAAGTAACTTGCTCAAGGTCCAATCATAAAAAAGAAGAAATTTGAACCCGGTAGCTCTAAACAGTAGGTCCAGGCCTGCCCACTAACGTTAAGACAGAGGAGACAGCAACATCCCTACCTACAAACATTGACAAAAGACTGGTTAGAATTGCATGACCCAAACCACCTGTTAGTTCAGGTGTGTGAGCCCAGGTCAGACTGCTTATTTAGTGGCATTTACCAGTTATTTCTGGCAAAGTGGTCAAACTAATAATAGGCAGCCTTGACATTCTTACAAAGAGTGAAAAATACGATGCAGAACTATTTTTGAATGGGTATTTTTAAATTTGGTGAATCATTTTCACCTTTAAAAAAACGACTTGTCAATTAGAAAATAAAATGGCACATATTCTCTTCAGTGTAGTGAGCTGTGATTGGAGAAAGCTCTCATGTATTTCCTATGATACGTTCAAATACATTTGGGTTAATTAACCAAATTGGTAGAAATCTGAGCTCCAAAGAGATCATCATCATGCCTTCAACCTCACAGAAGACTGGTAGCTTCCTTCACTCTAAGAGGAAACTCTAAACCTAGGTAGTTTGCAAAGGAAAATGAGTAGGTAGGCAAATTACTTAATCTCTCTCTTCAGTTTCTGGTTGAAGCATGTTGTAGAAAAAGGACTACGTGCACCCACTTTTCATTTTGAAGGTCAGTTCACTGGATTTTTTTTTTTTCCAAGATGAAGTCTCACTCTGTCGCCCAGGCTGGAGTGCCGTGGCATGATCGTGGCTCACTGCAGCCTCCACCTCCCAGGTTCAAGCAATCCTCCTGCCTCAGCCTCCTGAGTAGCTGGGACTACAGGCCTGTGCCACCACGCCTGGCTAATTTTTTGTATTTTTAGTAGACACAGGGTTTCACCATGTTAGCCAGGATGATCTCGATCTCCTGACCTTGTGATCCACCAGCCTCAGCCTCCCAAAGTGCTGGGATTACAGGCGTGAACCACCATGCCCAGCCAGTTCACTGAATATATTAAATAGTGATGAGCTGAAGCCCAAGGCAGCATAAAGTATACTTAGTCTTAAAATGCTAGACCAGTCAAAATAAAAGTGTTTTTTTTTTTGCTAATTTTCAAATTAATCCGTTTAAAGTCCTGAATTTGAGGCATTTTTTTTTCTAGAACTGAAAACTTCTTATTTCAGAAGACATCACCTCTTAGCAGAATGTGGCACTGCAGTTTTTCTCTCTTAAATGCTAAAGCTGCATAAAGAGGAGGAAGAGTTGATTAGGCAGCCATGGATTAGAGCCAGAGAGATGATAAATTAAGCAGCTCAGAGAACATGGGTCCCAGGAAAGCTAGAAGGGTATGTTTTTCTGCCTCTTCCCATTTACTCATTACTATGATGTGCATTTCTGAACATAAAAGCAGAACAATAATTGGAACCAATTGTTAGTTTATGAATTGTGGCTGTTGGTGAAATCTGCTAGTGAGGCTTTAGGTAGACATTGAATTCCATTGTCCTCATTCAAACAGGTAAATTCCCAACTGTCATTAGTCTGAAATTAAAGGAAGAAAGTTCTTTATAGTTTGATTTCAGTTTTGCAGTGCTACAGCTAATCACATCAGGAAAATAACTTTTTAAATAAACGTCTATCTTTTCTCCTAGTTGGGGTTGGAACAGAAATAAAGGAAGATGAAAAAGAGGATGGAATAGGACGGTTCTATGACCAAGCAGCTTGAACATTAGTCTTATTATTAAAGAAGCAATTTCTGATTCTACTAAAGAAATTTCATTCTTTTACAGTGACACAAATGTAATCTGCCTGGCTGCCTTAGGTTCCATTTATATTTTGTAGCACCCCAGAGCTACTCTTATTTGTTTAGTTATTTATTATTTTTTTTAAGAAACAGAATAGAAGTCCTTATAAGCCTAGCATGTAAAGGTCCTTACAGTTTTGAGGGCAGTCTCCTCTTCCCTGCCTTTTAACTCCTTGTCCTTTGTTTGGGCATGCATTTTCTGAATGTCGTTTTCAGAGTACCTTCCTGTGAGTTTCATTGATTTTGTTTAATTGGCTTCCCATTAATTAAGAAGGAGAATTAACTGGGAAATAGGCACGCATGCAGAGTTAAAAGTAAGCCAGGGCGGTCCTAAAGGAAAGAAAGCTAATGTTAGAAAACATGTGAGATAACCCTTTTATTCTGTGACTCTGTGCTTTCATTACCTGGCCCCTGTTGACTCAATGTTGAGTCCCAGCAAAGGGGTATGGATGAGAGGACTCAAGAGTGGAGGATTTGGCACCCATATGGCCCCAAAGCAAAATTTTCAGCTTACTCACACGGTTATTTTAAAGTAATACTGTTTTGAAACTCATTTGGTCATCATTTTTGCCTATCCATTTTACAGTACAGGAATCCTGAATTTATGTTATCTGATGTCTACATCCTGCTTGGTATCAGGATCATTAGATGGTCTCATCTGTCTCTGAGCCATCACCCACTGTTTTTTATTTTTCTTTCCATCACAAGCATGGTCTCAGTATATCTATGTAGATTCTGATATAGTTTTTAAAATACATTTTCTTCCAGCCCCTCCCCCTGAGCTTCTATTTTTATATATTTGCTTGCACATAAGTTTAATTGGCTAAGAAAACTACTCCAGAATTTTTCAGTTTCTTTCCTTTTGTTATAGAGAAAGAGAGAGAGACATGCTTCATGCTGGTGATAGTGGAACAAATGAGAACTTCAGGGTGGCATGTATTTTCCTGCAAGTAACTGTAGAGAAAAGACACCAAAGCCTTGCAGTGGAAAGTTGTAAGCATGCTGGAGTCACAACTTCGGGGGTTGAGGTTGTCGGGGAGCTGTCCGTGATGGTTCTATGGTGTGTGTGTACACACATACTCTCTGTCTCACACACACACACACCCCACAGTGACAGATGACCTATTGAAATAATTTCAGAGCCGGTCTGTGGTTGCTACGACAACCAATGATCTCTTGGCTTTCATCTGGCCATGTGACAGGGACTTTGACGTCAGCTAGAGGCAGAGTCTGTGGCTGAGTCCACACAGTCAAAGGCTTGTGAGAATCTGGTGGATGCTGGACCTTGCTGCTGCTGCTACTGCTGTTTCCAGGGGCTGCAGAGCATGGACAATTAAATCTTGCACTTCTTCTGAGTGAGGTAATTAGTTTGCTTTATATACAATAGTTAGATGTTTTTATAGCTCATTGTGGTTTTCCCCTCTCTCTTACCTCCTACAAGTTTGTATTCATGAGCAATTATTGTTGTACCAAGGGGAAAATGTGAAGCAGCTTCTAGTTGTGAATTTCAGGCAGGTTCTCTGGAATTTGGTTAAATTTGGATTAATGTTCTGTGAAGTAGGTTAAAATATAATCGCCTTGCAAGCTCAACACTTGCTAACATAACATTATGTAGACGTACGGATTTTGCAGCTTGAGCCAAATATTCTCTCTTGGATTCCAGGAATCCTCCCTTCAGTATTGTTTTGGGTTTAAAAACTCCAGCATAGCCTTGCAATGTGTTTCTAACTTTTCTTTTTACAATTGCTACTCAATTCTGAATCAGCCTAAAATAGTTTGGAATTGGTTTCTATCTTGTTTGCAGCATTCATATTTAGCAACAATAGGAACCACGGGAAATAACATAACTGAAATAAAAGTTGGGATTTTGCTTATAAATAAGACCTTTGGTATTCTGAAAGTACCAGGAAAAATTGTCAACAGCTTCCTGTTTAGAGAGAAATAATCGGGAATATGCCAAGGAAGTTGGGGTGGAACCTTTTACATGTGTGTATGCAATTGCTTTTTGGTTGTTAGAGCAAAGTGCATTATTTCCAGTATCCTCCCCTGAAAATTCAGCTGTGGAGAGAATGGCATGAGATGGGCTTTGCTAAGAGTCATGTAAGCTGTTGTTACTTTTTAAAATCATCATAATTACCTAAAGAAGAAAACAATAGCCCTCAAACTAAATGTGTCATTGATACACGTTCTACTTTAACTCAAACACAGATAGAAGTAATCACTCACAATTTGCTCTGGATCTTAAATGAATAATTTGATAACTGTGATTAATAAGAATTTTATCTTTATTCCTATAATACTATATACTACAAATTGTTTTCTTCGTATTGTAGTTTCTTTCCTTCCCAAGTTTAGTAATTTCAGATTTTCTTTCATGACATACAGGTTGAATTGTTTTGGAGCTTGTAATTTAAAGAATATCTGTAACACTGAAGTTAGCCGAAGTCTAGATTTATAACCAGGTGTCTAAATCTTACAAGTTTAACAGAAAAAGGGGCAAATTTTAGAGCACTACATGTAATACAGCTAGTATTTTAAGTAGTAGAAAAAACTGGTTGAACTGTATATATGAATACTGTATATTTACAGTGTGTGAATTATACCCTAATTTAGTGCAAGAATATATTGTTTTAATTTTTATGTTCTTTATTAGTTTCAGAATTCTAATAGCATTTATTTTACTCTTGGAGGTGAAAATTTTGAACAGAATTTAGCTACAGTAATAAGTGAATAACTGTGGGTATATCAATAATTTCTGAATAGCTTTCAATGAGTGAATAATCATTTAACTTGCTGGCATTTGACATGTCTATTTTTGGTCAGAGTCTCCATGGAGGATTTTCCAAAAGTCTAATGTGCTTTCATTCCAGGCACATCTACAGAGACATAATCTCATCATTTAATTGATCTCAAAATTATAATAACCCAGAGGCCATGTTCTTAACACCCCTAGAAAAATGATAATTTATATGTAACATTTCAGTTGAGCATGGATAAGACCAGTAGCACTGTCATTTAACAGCACTATCTTCAATGAGGTACACTTTGACGTTTACTTCTTTTACTTGAAATGTGGAATTATCATTATAGTATTTCCAGGTAGCAGAGATTTTCTTGGTGCTGTCTCTACGGTGTTTTAAATTAAAGTCTTATAATAATTGTATTCAATGCCCTTTCAAAATAGACTGCATTTTAGCAGTATGAAATATAAGAGAATAATTCAGTGTTGATGGCAAAATCTCAAAGATGAAGTTTATCACTAAACGAAAACAACCTATGCCGTGAAAGCAGAGATGCTCTATAATCTACAGGTCTTTTCCTATGGGAAAATAAGAGAAAAAAAGACTCTCATCAGAATCATTTATTTACAGCATTGAGACTATGTTGATTTCAAGGTCATGTTTGTTGCAGCTTCAAAAGATGCTGGCAAGGAACGAGTTACTCTAGAAACCTGGCTGTTGCATTATTAAATATTTTGTGTATAGTTTCGGGCATTCTTAACCTTTTTGGTGCCATGGACCTCTTTGGCAGCCTGGTGAAGCCTATGTACTTTTCTCAGAATTATGCTTTTACATGCATAAAATAAAGTATGCAAGGTTACAAATCAAACCACTTTCATTCATTGAAAAATGTCAACTGAAGTTTACAAAATTGTGATACATGTTTTGTTAGTAACACATTATTAAACAATACAAACTAACAGCAGGTATAATAACTACCGTAATTTTGAAGTAGTGGTGAGCATAAAAGATATTTCAGGATATCTACAACAACTGTAAAATGAGGTGAAAATATCTGTGATTTCTCTTGGCAACAATATCACGGGTGCTGTGGTTTGTGGCCTACATTTTAATTGAAGGAAATACTAAATTTCAGTTTGAGGTTAGTGAAACTGAAGATGTAATTTTTTCCCAACCAAGTTCCCCAGGCCCTCTTGAATTTTATCCACCCCCGAGTCAATTGATATGTACGTTAGTGATGCCAAAAGGTGATAGAACAGCACTGGACAAAACCCATCCCCCCATTTCCACATTCAGGTCCACTGCATCGGATTTATTCTTTGAGTGTGTGAATTTTGCAATGTTCTCTAAATTCTGCATGAAAAGGAGTAATATGTTTGTATAGCTACCAAACTGTAACTTTCTTTTATTTTCTTCCTTGAAATCCATTGACAGTCTTATGTTCCCTGGATTGGGAAACCCTTGCCTGGTTAGACAGGGGTTAAGAGGAAAACTCATAGTGTTAGTACAAGTTATGCGAGTTAAAACCATGGGCCACGGTAGTAAGACTATAACTATTTACAAAAGAGCCTTTATCCACTCAGAGAAGATAAGCAAGTAGTACTTCGATGAAGAATGCTGGATGTTATATGAGATTGTAGCTGAAGAAATACTCTAGAAGGTACTTCATGTGCTCATAACATTTGAAGCAAGCATTAAAGAATGTATGTGGCTTTCTAGCTTAATGTAAAGCACATACATGTGTGAATTGATCAATTGTCATGTTAATTCCAGATACTTAAGAGAGAGCCCTAAAAGTTTATCTGACAGAGATCTCTAGGATGAGGCATGTTTGAAATTAAGCCGAAGTGGAGACACTTCCCAAGTATCTGAATGCAGAACCTTATTGGCCTTATTGGATATTTAAGACCGATACAAGGGGTGTTAATAGTATTGTGTAGCATGACTTATGTAAGTAATTGTCTCATTCTACATGTTTCTTTAAATGTGCAGAAAATAGTGCCTGATCTTCCTCTCCAAACCAACAGCATAACTTTGCAGTTGGTCAGCTACCGTCACAGCTCCTACGTTCAGAACGTCCAGAGTCATCCTTTCTATGACATCAGCACCCACTGTCTCCGTGTAAGAGAATGGGAGCTATGACATTTTGCACAAGCTGTTGTTTAAACTCAATCCAAATCCCTCGCATTTGAAATGGAAGCTTAGCAATTTGTCTTTGTGTGTTCTCAAAGGAATTACGAAAGAGATGTTCTCAAACGTTTCTTATTCTTTGGATTAGAAAAGAACACTTGTCTTGGGAGCTTTTAGTCTCTGTAGCAACTTGATAAAGAAACTTGGAAAAAGTTTAACATCTCTGACTCCAGGCTGTACTGTTTGCTTCTCAATGCCAGGTGTTTGAAACTTTTCAAAAAGGAATGTGCCATTATTTTTCACAAAATCCACGTGTATTTAACTGGTGCTTCATGATGGAAATCTCACTAGAAATAGCATTCCAAAATGTAGTATTTTTTATTGTTTCCAGAAGTGATACCATAAAAGTTAATGCTCACTAAGATTTTGATATAAAAATTATATGATATTGAAATTCACTGCAGCCAAACTAAAAACAGTCTGCCCTTTTTATCTCAGGGGTGAACTTCAGGGGGTTTGTTGCACGTATTTTCATAAGTGCCTTTAAATAAAGACACAGCATCCCTTTAAAATTTAGTAACCAGAATATTCTCAGGTCACAATGAAGTTTTATATTTGATTTGTAGGAAAGAAATCTCCAACCTGAAAGACATTCCAGCTGTTGCCTGTGTTGATGGGAGGATTCTTCACATTTTCTGAATCTCTCCCAGTGACTGCAGGAAGACCAAAGGTTGCACATTGCTTTTATGCAAGGATGAATTTTTTTAAAAGATGATTCTGGATTTTGTTTGCTTTAATGAATTTAAGCCCTATCTATTAGAGATAAATGTCAAGAAAACTGCTGTGTTCTTTGGCTCTGGTGACTCCCACAGACTTTGATATGATTCATGTAACTCAAACCATGATCAGCTTTGTGACAACCATATTTACAATAGCGTTGGAGATCAAAAATAGCATCTCACAAGAGTTTCCCCATCCTATACCTTCCTACGTCTTACCGTGGATCATGTGCAGCACAGTCACTCAACTGGCAAACATTTGTTAACTGACTACTGCATTCACAGTATTATAGTAGGCATATGAGGTCCTCCCTGATGGAATCCTCAAGGGAGATATGCCACTGGCGTGGAGAACCCAAGTGCCTTTATGGAACCTGGCTTTTGTTTGCTTGAGCTTTTATTCGACCATTCAGTCTTTCATGCATACAGCAAATTTTGAGCACATACTAGGTGTCAGGCATTGAGCTAGACCCCAGAGTTGCTATGAGGTACAAGACAGGGCAGGTCCCTTCCATCACAGAACATGCAGTCTAACTATATAGAGAACTTGCCCAGAGACCTATATGTACCATTAACTGTGGTTCTTTTTCCCACAGCCACACTGGCCACTGCAGTCCAAAAGAGAATTTTAAAAGGAAACGGTACAAAACAGAACATCAAAACAAAACAGACAAACAACCTGGGAACCATTAGGTTTTACACCAGAGTGA